CTGAAGAGGCTCTGTGGTCTCAGGGACCCCAAAAAGAACATAAAGGTTAAAGGAATGATTTCATTTATTTCAAAAACGTATACTGCTCTCAAGAAAATATCTCTGCAAACATAGGTAAGAGACATGCTGGATTAAAGTACAAGCTTGGCTGAAATAAGGCAATATATGTATGATGAAAGAAATGTTATTTAGCTTGTCTGCCTTTCTATAAGAAAGAAGTATAGACTCTATAATAGTAATTATTCAAAGATTTGCATTTATAGACAAAGAACATATATTACCCATATAACATCCATCCATGTTTTGTAAGGTACTGGTAAATAACTGCAATGAAGAGGCACTCACAGGCACTGGAGAATTTGATTGTGTAATGACTGATTCATAAACTGAAAATTAAAGTTATTAATTTGAAGTTATTATTAAAAGTTATGTACATATGTACTTAATAAACAATGATTGCTTAATACAATGTCATTAATTATTTTTGTTTATCCTTGGAAATCTCTGGTATGTTAAGAGTATTTTTAGAGTACAGGGACTGAAGTACATCCTATATACCAGCTGCAAAATCATTTGATGCAGGTGTTAATGAACTACCCAAATCACTGATTGAAATTGGGAAGTAGGGCGTTGAATAAAATAATATTTTAAGATAAGACAATTTGGAACAATGAAATCTGTTACTTAGAATGTCACTGTGGTGATTCCTTGGGGAGAAGTTCCAGCTGCTATTTCTGATCAGACAGAAACTCCAGGGAAATCTATTTCTACTCTATCTACTCTAAGGCCTCACATTTTATGTAATGAGACTTGTCCTCAATGCTTAGCTTTCCTCATTGTAAACAAGTGGCTTCTGTGCCAGCATACATGATCCATACCTTACCAAAACATCTGTGAATATACTAAGAGCATAATTTATGTTCTGTTGGATATCTCTTGGTTTTTGCTACCAGAATATTGATTTCTGTGCTTTGGCAGCAAAGAGGGATGATCCATCTCTAGGAGCATTGTGGCACAAGTGTCTCTAGACAGAGCACACACTCGCAAACACATGTCTCAAAAAGATGTATAATGTACAGGAATCACGCTAAACAAAGATGGCAGCAAAAATATTAACTGAATGTGCCACACATCAGGTTAAGTTACGTTTAGACTATCTTTCATAAAAACAGAAGACAAGAACAATGGACATAATGAAAAAATAAATACACTGCATGCTCGCACTGCCCGAGTGCAAATATTAAGGACAGCTTTTTAATAAATTAAATTGCCATCTTAGATAATAGTACTGGATCCAATTTTACATGTTTTTCATAGGTATGGTACAAAACATTTTGTGAAAATGATGTCAATTCTCAAGGGCTTTTCTACTGATTTCTTATACTTCAGTTTCAATCGATTTCCGTTTTCAGTCGATCAGATCCATTTACTATTTCACTACACTGTTGCCTTGAATGTACATAATTTCAATTTCAATCATTATGTAGCCTAAACAAGGAATCACACATTTGTGACCTTAATATGATATTCTAGTGAACTGTAATGTGAATTAGAACTAGAAACCAGGCAAGAATTGCAAGCTTCATAATCTGCTTTCAGTAATATTTATTTTCCCAAATAATGCTGCAGAGCACTGTAAAGTATAATAAATAAAACCATTCTAGTGTAATTTTTGCCCCATCTTTATAAAGTTCACCGGCAAACATTCCAGCTTCACATACATTTTTGACTGCATTTTACATGGACCAGCTAAGAACGCTATTGTCTTTGTGGTTATATCAGCTGTATACTGAGTGTAGAGTAAATAAATCAAAGACACAAAGCACAACTGATCTTACTGGTTTCATCAGAGTCATAGCTGTTGGCCTCATCCTCATACTCCTCTGGTGGAGGAGCCTGATGACGGGCTGGTGGGGTATTGTAGGAGGCTGACTGTTTCCTTTCCTCCCTCTCTGCAGGAGGTACTCTGTCCAGGAACCCAGTGGTCAGGTAGGCTCCTCTCTCTGGTTCCTGGAGAGCAGTAGCTGCAAACAAAAATGTATTACCAAACTAGAAATAGTCAGACAAGAACTCTCAGTGGGATGTCCAGGTCTGAACTCACTCTGGTGGTTTTTCAGCGCTGCAGCTGATGGGGGTGGTCTGGAGCTATGTACTGCAATTGCCTTTTTCATCACAACAGGACCATCTGCCTCTGAGTAACAGGCACCGGCAATGCTGGTCGGCTTTGGAGCCACAGCTGGTTTTGGAGCGACAGGTGGACGTCCTGTGAGCACAGACAGTCTAGTCACTTTCGAATTTGAAACCTTTAGAAATTAGGTTATGCTGTACATGAGCAGTATACATCTAAATTTGATGTAAATAAACGCAAGTTTTCATGGAGAAAATCAGAATCATTGTCATTCTCACGGAGCAAGCATCAAGAAAACATTCTGACATTCCCATAAAAAAAGGCTCCATGCTCTACACCTGCAATTCTAAACCCTGGTCCTAAAGTACCCCTTACCTGCATATCTTAATCTTCTCCCTGCTCCTATCTAGGGCTGCAACAAATGACTAATTTGATAGTCGAATAATCTAGCGATTATTGAAATAATCGATTATTTGGATTATGAATCACTAAATTGCCAAATAACTCTTATGTAACTGTCAGCTTTAAAAGTTAGCTTGAGGTTGTTTTATGTATTTGCTAACTAACAATGAAGGCAATAAAGATGAATAACTTTTAATACAAAAGATAACTCCAATATCTTTTTCCTGTCAAAATTTAAAACCAAGGGTGTGCAAAGTAGCAGCAATAAAATCTAACAAAACTAAATCAGTTTTCCTGATCTAATAAAAAAATCAGTCTGAATTTAAATGTAAACTGTGCAGTCTGTGTTGTCTTGTTGTGAGAGGCTTGCTCTCTCCTGAGGGCAGATACTCCCCACTGCAGAGAAGATGCATTCTGATAGAGTGGATGGGAAAGTGGCAAATGTTTGTGGCAAACTTGTTCTCTATGAACAGTTACATTTGAACGATTTTGTGTCAACATTCATTTCAGCAGTAATCCTTCATCCAGCTGCCTTGTATGTTTGCGGTGAACTACCTCCTGAAACTGTTTGCAAGTGGTGCCAAACGTTTGCGGAATACAGGAAACTGTTTGCAACTTTTTGAAAACGTTCTCCTATGTTCGCTGAATTTAAACGCATCTGTGGCCTTAGTGTTAAGACAGCGATGCAGTGTTTAAAAGTGTAAACATTATTTGAAAAATGAACAGGTTCGTTGTGAATCAGTTAGTTGCTTCTCTGTTTCAACTCCATTAATGATTCCAAAGACCATGCATTTCGAAATAGATGTTACAGTTCAAAACATGAAGTAGGACAGATTTTAACATTAACATTAGCTAGTTAGCACAATCTTACCGAGTTGAATCTTCATCCAGTGAGCTGAAGTGTTTCCTCTTCAGATGCTCCAACATGGAAAATGTGCTCCCATGCCAGCTAAGGTTGGCTTTACAAATAGCACAACTGACAACCTTTTTTTTCTAAGTTTTGATGATTTTTTTCTTGAAGCTGCCTTTACACTTTTGTCAACTCTCCAGTAAGCAGTAATGTCAAAACATTCCTACTGAGCGCAAGAAAGATACGTTATGACATCACCAACTAATCGACTATTAAATTAGTTGCCAAATAATTTGGTCGTGTGGTCGCTACCTGATCCAACTAACCAGCTCATTAACAAGCCCTTTATGACTTGAAGTGGGTGTGTTGCAACAGGGAAAACACTAAAATGTGAAGGGCAGGGAGTATTTTAGGACCAGGGCTGGAAACCTGTGCTCTACAGCAAAGATTCTTAATCCTGTTTCTGGGAACGTGCTGCTCTCCATGCTTTGACGTAATCTCTGCCCCAAAACACCTGATCCAGCTCATAAGCTAATTATCAAACCATCAGACACATGGATCTACACTGTAAAATCTAACTGCACATCTTAATGAAAGAATTAAGTTAACACAAGTGAAATACAACAGAAAGTTGGAGTAACTTAATCAGAAAAATTGAAATTAACTCAAAAATGAATTGGGAATATAGTAACTGAGTCATTTTGAGTAAGATCATTTTTTAGCATATTTTAAGTTAAGGTAACTTTATCCAGAATATATTACATTAAATATTTTTATTTGAGTAAGTAAATACATGGTTAATTTGTAAAAGAACATTTTGCAACATGCATCTGTTGTATCAAAATATTCCACATATTATCTTATATGAGGTTTATGAATTTTAACCAATTTTCTCCCAGTTTAGTCATTGCCAGTTCCCCCTCACATGATAACTACCAATGCAGGATAGAGATGGCTCACAATTCCTTCCCCTGATTTACTTGAAGCCAGCCACAGAGAATTTCTTGAGCTGCTGCTCATGCAACGTCACAGGGGCTGAAGGCGGTTCAAGGAGAGCAGTAATTGTCCAATTCTGGTATGTTACCTAACAGAGGGCAATTATTTAAGATCAAACTGAATGACGATTTTCCAATGACAGAGCAGTTGTACCATTCAGAACCAACATCTGTAATCAAATAACTATAATACATACAATGTAAATACATACAATATAAAACAATAACTAAGTAATAATACCTGGACCTCATTCTCCAATATCTTCCTAAGTTTGTTCTTAAATGTGTTTTTAAGAAAGGTCTTAAGAAAAGGTCTACGTCAGATTCATGACGTGTTCTTAAGCGCAGAAATATTCTCACCTTTGTGCACCTTTGTGTGTGTGTGTGTGTGTGTGTGTGTGTAGATTCTGTTCTTACCTAAGAACAAATTCCAAATAAGAAAACATTGGTGAATGTCAGAATCTTCGTAACAGCTGTGTGAGTGGGTTTTAAGAAGAAATTATCAAGAACAGTTGGTGAATGAGGCCCAATGTGTTCAGAACATACTCCACATGAGACTGACATTTTTTTCAATGCTTTGTCTAATGCTAATTATTCCCACTATTCTTGTGTACTCCAAACACTATGCTAAAGCACCCTGAAAGAGAATGGTCTTCCAGTTTCCAAGAATCAAGACTCAAGGTCCTCTTCATGTACCACAGTGCTATATGAATAGACTTTTCTCCAGAGCGTTGGACAAGCACAAGTACAAGCTTGTTTCCCTTTCAATTGTAAGGAACTAAATTAAAACTAGGAAATATCACGGGGCTGGGCCATCTACATCTGAACAGGCCACCATATCTGAGACTGAGAAAATTCAGAAAAACAGGCATGAGCCAAGACATTGAGAAAACAGCAGTGAGCAGCAGTGCTGGGCTTCATGTGTGGGAGAACTAAAAATGAGTAACTACCTCCCTGTGTTCAGGAGTCTTTTCAAACAAGCCTTTGAAGCTCAACAGTTTACACTGTTATCTGGAGACCAAACACAGTGAATATTTGTCTAAACTGTCAAACAGAGCAAAAACTCTGTTTGCAGATTTCCTCTCTTCAGCCTATTAAAAATCCTTTGGGTCACAGAAGACTTTGTGGTCATTTGTGTGGGCTGTAAGTTGCAAAAAAAGGTTGATATCCCTTCATATGAGGTTATTGCTCTTACCTGCTGGCTGCATTTCTGGACAAGCTGCCTGACTCTCCACCAGATCTGGGTGGTAATGAGAACATAATACAGTTAAAATGCACAACATGCTCACACACAAGTAAAGCATCACTGTATCTTTTATCTAGTCAAATACACTATATGAACAAATGTATTGGGATGCACCTCTTAATCACTGAATTCAGGCGTTTCATTCAGTCCCACAGGTGTAGAAAATCGAGCACCTAGCCATGTAGTCTGCCTTTACAAACATTTGTGAAAGAATGAGTCGTTCTAAAGAGCTCACTGAATTTGAGTGTGGTACTGTAATAGGCTGCCACCGTTGCAACAAGTCAGTTAATGAAATTTCTTCCCTCCTAGATATTCCACTATCAGCTGTGAGTGGAATTACTGAAAAGTGAAAGTGTTTAGGTACCACAGCAATTCAGCCACAAAGTGGCAGACCATGTAAAGTTACAGAGCAGGGTCACCATAGAGCATAGACCCCTGACCTCAACCCCAGTAAAAACCTTTGGGATGAACTAGAAAGGAAATTGCGAGCCAGGCCCTTTCATTCAACATCAGTGTCTGACCTCACAAATGCTCTCCTGGATGAATGGACAAAAATTCCCACAGATACACTCCAATATCTTGTAGAAACCCCCACCAGAGGGGAGCAGAAGCTGTTATAGCTGCAAAGGGGGACAAACTCCCTATTAATGCCAATGGATTTAGAATGGGATTTCATAAAAGCTCCTGTAGGTGTCCCAATACTTTTGTCCATCTGGTGTATGTTTATCAAATCAAACTTTATCAAACTTCATGAAAATGACTTAATTCAGTCTATCTAGTTTGGAGCTTACATTCAGTGGGAGCCTAATTAACCTAAACATAATTGCTGGCAGTTAAACACCATGAGTATCTTTAGTTTGCTCTTACATACTTTTATGATATTTGGCACAAGTGACCATTTATCATGAAATTACCCTATCTAAATTACTTTAAGTATTTAATCTAGTTCAAAAGTTGTTATATGTGTTTGTACGATATTTTTTTTGTCCTTTTCTTTTTATTGTACTAATTTTAGAAACTGAAAAAAAACTCTTACATATGTTCAAATCTACTAGACATAAGTAAATGCTCATTACTGATTACGAATTCCAAAATTACTATTATTAGGAAGTCTACGTGTAGCATTATAGCTTCACAAATATTGACAAAGTTTTCAAAGGATACGGTTAATAGTTATCTTAGTTACTATTAGCCTGTGGTTTTGGCTGGGCAGCAGCTACAGATGCATCAAGTGTAGCCTGGTTCTCAGCGGCCTTCTGGAAATTAGGCTCTTTGGATTTGGAAATGGGCATAGGTGAAGGTAGAAACTGCTTAGGTAGGCCCTTAAAGAACCAAGCCCCAGATCGCTTCCATACCTTTGGAAGAAACAAGAAATAGACAAAATAAGGTAATGCCTCACATTAACTCTGAAAAGCAACAATTATTTGCTTTGTTTGTTTTTTATATAACAGCTATATCAGCACATCAGAGAGGGTGTAGCCTCTTATGTAAACAACGTTCTCTAAAGAGCATTTATGTTTGTCCTAATCCTCATTCATTCCTGTGGCAAAACCTATATCCTAACAATGCAACTTGGTCATCAAGTCTCTGTCTCTCACCTCTCGCTGTTCATTACAGATCTTGCAGAGCCATACAGACCGTGGACGGCTGTTATTTTGCACGCCACACTTGGTGCACATGTTCTAGAAAAAGACACATTTCACTGAAAAACATAATTTGAAAGACTCATCATTGCAATGGCAGTGTCACAACTTCATCCATGCCTCTTGTCTTACTCAGGCGCCTCCAGCCTATTGACCACCGGCTCTGCCTAGTTGCCTCCCATTCATTACCATTTCCTCCTGTTTTGCACTATTGACTCAGGCACTACCATTGATATACATCCTCTGGTCTGTTTGTTGCTTTTAAAATATCTCAGTGTTTCAGTGTCTCTGTCCCGCTCTGTCTTTCTGTAGGCGGAGTGAGCTGTCAATCTTCATCCAGCTAGTGTCAGCCACCCAAATAAGCACAGTCTTGTGGTAAAAAGAGGCAAAGCTTCCCATTTAAAAGCAGCGTGGACAGTGCGGCTGTCCTCACTCATTTGCCTCTAGCTCTCGTGTTTGATTGATGATTCGCTTATACTGAATTGTTGATCTGTTTAGGTTGTTTATTCCATTGTCAGTCTGTAGCTAGTTCGCTAGTGTTGTTAGTTCTGTCCAGTGTTTTGGCTTCTTATTGTGATAGGGCTGTTAGCTCTGTCTAGTGCTCTCACTTCTCCCTTTTATCTCGTTTTTCTCATGGTAGTCCCCTCGGTTTAAGAACAGGTTAGATTGTGCGTGCACTTACATTACACCACGTAGATAAAATCTGCTGTCTAGGCACACTAGGTTAGAGGGTGGGTGCTGTCCCCTGTAATTTTGGGAAGGTTAGCTTAGCGCAGGGGTCAGCAAAAAGGGGCTCCGGAGCCGCAGGTGGCTCCTTCACTGCCCTATAGGCCCTTTTCACATTTCTGCATTTTTTCTGCAGTAAGTAGTCGTTGCAGGGTAACGCTGCTTTCTTCCGTTTCATGTGAAAAGGGCCTATTGCGGCTCCAGAGCAGAATTAGACTTTTAGATAAAAATTACTGTGCAGTAAAATAAAGCTCTGCTGATTTATTCTAACAAACAGTTCTAACATAATTTTAACAATAAATAGTCTTAAATGCTGGAGTTACATGTATAACTGCTTATTCACCCTTTAATCCTGAAAGTCAGCAAACAGACTGCTGGTCACACAGCAACGCAGATAACAATCTCTCCTAGCTAGTTGCTAACGAAATGGCAAAGAGAAAGGTTTAAGACAAACATTGATCATTTGGAGACTAAATGACTTGTTTGCATTTGTAAGCATTTCAGTTGGATTCCTGATATGTTTAATCTGCAACGAGAAACTATCAAACACTAAAAAGTCACGAAGCTGAAGTCAGCTTCTCATTCAAAATTTCCTGTTCCACCTTAAATGGTGCAACAGTTAGCTACATAGTTAGCTACCTTCTGGCACCACAGGCACCATTTAAGGGGGGACGGTAAAAATTCGAACAAGAGGATGGCGAATGAGAAGCTGACTTCAGTTTCGTAAAAGGTAGAACGTTAAGAGACATTTTACAAAAAACTGTTCTACTTTTGTGGAAAAGTTTCCTGTCAGAGTTGCGAGAAAAGCAGCTACAGCTGAGCTAAAGCTTAAAGTAGAGCAAAATAAGTCTGCATTTTTTATCTACATTATATTCTTAGCCTATACTAGTACATTAGCACATGTGGCTCCCAAAGTGGTTAGATTTTTGTCAAAACTTGACAAAATGGTTCTTCTCAACATTTGGGTTGTCGACCCCTGGCCTCATGTAGCTTGTTAGTTTTGCTTTCTGTTTTGGTAGTTTGGCTAGACTTCAAAAACAGTACAGCTCAGGGTAGTTTTTGTTTTTTTCTGTTCATTTCTTTGTTATCATCCACATTCTCTTTCTGAGGTAAGATTAGCTCAGCCCCAATACTGGTGTGTTGTCTGTTTGTGCTTGTAAGTCCTACACCATTGTCTGTTGTCTGAATCCTTTTTTTTCAGACCATTTATTTATTCACATGTAAGCCTGTCCTAGGTAGTTTTCCCGTGTTTTCAAATCTTTGGCTATTTTTATGCTTGTGGGTTAGCACATTTCTGGTCTAGACTGTTTTCTGAAGGTGCCTAATAAAGTCTTATCAGCACACGCACTAGTCTCCTCCACTACTGTGATAAAGATAGCTATTAACACATTTACCACATTTCCAGTGGTCAGGAAAGGCTTATATGCACTGTAGGACTATAGAACTACATGCACATTTTTGAGCAGGTAGCGCTGATGCTAGAAATGTTTTGGTACTGTATTGTACCAAAAAAATGAAAATATTGTTGCAGTGATAATAAAAATCCATAATAATAAATATAAAAAGTGCAAATAACACTTTTTTGTGTAGGTCAAGTTCATAAGGCTACATGACAGTTAAATAAGGCTTTCATGACAAATGACATGCATAAAGGCTTTTTCCAACATGCAGTAGTTTTTAAAACTGCTTTTGTCAACTTCAATGTCAGGTTGACAAAACACTATTGCCAAGTACGTCTTGTTAGCATGTTATAACAACTGATCTGGAAGTTCAGTGCATTTTTGATCAGACACATAATAATAATTATGTTACACAACTTAACAGGTGAGAGAGGTTGCAAAATCAAAACAATCATATTGTGAAGGTTTTAATGCTGATGATCTGTTAAGACACATTTATGTATTTTTTCTCTGACCCTTAAGTGTCATACTTATAAATATGATATATGTATCATGTTTATAAAAATTTTATTAAGCCCAATGGCAAGGCCTAGCAATGTACTGACATAGTTCTATATTTTTCGCTGGTACTTAAGTAAAGTGAATGACTTGGATTAGAAATTTTGTCAGGATTAAAATGTCCAGTATAGTATTTAGAAACAGATGATGAACTATCAAATTGAAACAATGCCATTAAAAATTAACAATCTCTGACATTTCAATCAAGAAGGTGTTATGAGAAGTGTTATGTTAACAACCACTTCATATTGACAAATGCAACCTTTATGACAACTGCTGCTTATTGGAATGAGTCTTGATAAATGCTCATGTAGGTTTACATCAGTGGTCATGAAAAGCTTATGTAACTGTCATGTACTCTTATGAACTTTACCTACAGTAAAATGTTACCAAAGTCCATTAACCTCCTTCATCCTTCTGTTGGGCCAGCTAAGAATGATGCAGCTGCAGCCATATAAGTCACAGGTTTACTGCATATTGCAATTTAAAGTTCAGCATGCCATGCTTACATTTCTATTCCTCTATAGGTAGAAATCTATTATTTCTGACTATAAAGGAATGTAAATATAAACAGGGCATGCTAAACAATATCTTGCTTAGCTGTTTTCTTCTCATTTGATTTTACAAAACTTTGTATTTGAATGGTGACGACTGGTTGATTACTACATTTTATATTACATAAAAACAACAAAAATTACACAAGACTTTTTTTTAGATGAAACCAATGCAAAAACGAATGCAAGATCACAATAAGAAACCAATGTTTACCTTTTTACAGTCTTCACAGACTACAGACTTCCCAAGAGAACCTAGCTGCTCCCCACACAACAAGCAGCGAGACACCCCATCTCCACACACAGTCTTCTTCATATTATCCAGACGATTCATCAGACGCCTACCATACACAGAAGGTATGAAAGCATATTTAAATAATTTGTTCATTCAAGTTTGAGCATGAATGTTTCCTTGAACATCTCTGTCCAATAGAAACCTACTATTAGTAACACAAGAAAGATCTTAACTAGTTTTTCCAGTGTTCTATTTATGGCCAATATCTTACTGGGTAGAAATGGGTCAGAGCATAATGGAAACCCTGTTCCAGGAGTAAAGATTGTGAAGGAATAACCTTATGACTCGAGTTCTGAAACTCTTTAACTCTTTCCGTAGGAAAACCTTATATAGTGGCCATGAAATAATGTGTCTGGTGAACACACCTCAAGCCTTCAGCCTGTAGCCTATTGAGCCAATGGAAAGCCAAGTCTGCCCACCCAGTCTCCATGGTAATGCATGTGGAGTGTTTTTATTGTGAAAATAACCAAGAAACTCACAATCAGAAAGAAAAGACATGGTCTACTTTATAATTTCCTTAAAACCTGGTGACATTCATTTGGATATCAGGTCTACTCTATGTAAATGAATACTTTTTTTGTAGAATTATGTGTTTTTTGTTAAAAATCTCTGTCAGTGAGCTTAGTTTAAAATCCATTCTAAATTGGCATGTTAGCAAATATAATTCAAATAGAAGATATTGACTGATACTGCTACTCAGCCTGCTGATGTCAGCCATTCATTACGAGCTAGCCAGGTATCTAAATATTAGCAGTCACAATTAGTCACAATATTAACACAATATAAACAGTCTATTACATCAATACAGTAAAACTATCTGGACACTGGAGATTTTTGACAGATCACATCATGGAAAACGTATTTTGCAATAGTAGTTGTCTGACAAGCATTTGACATTTTGCTGGCTCTTTGTAGTCTTTACTTTGTTAAAAAAAACCTGTCTCGCTTCCTGTCTGTTATGTCCCTTGTTAACGGTCATTTCAATGAAAGTGCCAGTACATTTTAGAAGACAATTTTTTCATGTTGTGTTGTTAGTTTTTTAAAAAAAAATGTTTGTACCTCTTCATTTATAAATCAACTCAGCAATGTTTTTGAGCATGAAAAGAGACAGATTGTATTAATTTTTCCTGGCTATTCTTTGCCTGCTTTCCATGGAAATTTTCCTGCTCTCTACAGAAATGGTCTAAGGTTTAACCCTTTAAATGGCCAGAGCCCTCTGGCAGGCCCTGAGTTTTATTACACACATCTATAACCTAGGAATAACAATAACTAGTTTGCTTTGAAGTCCCTGTATTTATTGAATAATAAGCCTTAGTGTGTAATAAGCCTGGGATTTCAAGGGGTAAATTTGCAACTAAACTGTTTTGTGTTGGTGAATCCTGTATTTTTTTTTCAAAGCACTAATGATGAGGGAAGTAATGCCTAAGCTGGATAGAGACCTTGAATTATTTGCAACAATCACTCAGATATACTGTTGGCAACAAATTGAATGTTTTTATTCTTTCAGCTTTTTTGTGAAAATATTTTTATCAAACATTTTCAGTACAAAAATAACAACAGACAACAGACAAACAGTAATAAAAAAAGAGACACAATTAAATAAAAATAAATTCAGCTAGACTAGGGCCTGTCCCAAACTTTAAACAAAGTCAGCTGCCACAGACTAAGTGACCACATTATCAGCCTTTGCTCAATTCAGTCTGGCAGTTACCCACTCCAGTACCATCCATAAAACAGAGCAAGAATGTAGACCTTGAGTGCACACTCGGTTCTGTACGAAATTTCAAAATTGCCTTCTTCACTGCTGTCAGGGAAGACATTACTATTTTCTTTTGTCTGGGTTTTAAGTTAACCCTTGTGTGGTGTTTGTGTTTTTGTCACTCAGTGGGTCTGGTGGACCCACTGCATTATTGGTTATTTAAATAATAACCATAACAATTTACTTAAAAATACCAGATGTTTTAAATATCACAAGTGGACAGCGTAGGGTTCTCCTTCTGCAGCTGTAACCAGTCAGCAGCCTGTCCATGTTGTCCACCCTCACACACACATATACAGACACATACACACACAGACACACACACACACACACACACACACATACTAACAGCAGGCCATGTAAGAGAACAAAGTGAAGGGACACAGCACCTCCACACTTCTATTCCCCACAGGTTCACCCCAGCACCACATGTGTAATATAAATGTGTAGGGGGTGTACAGTGTGAAGTCATTGAAAATGTGTAATTTTTATGTTCTTCATAGAAAATGATCAAAGGCCAAGGAATCAGGAGTTGAAATAATAATAAATCGTTTCATTTTTTATTTTGGTACACATTGAAAATGGGTCCCACAGACCCGAACACCATACGAGGGTTAAGTATTGAAATATCTCAGAGGAGGAAGAAGGATATTAGGGCAGGTCTACTTCTAAAAGAGAAGAGAGCAGAGAAGCTATCATTTTCCATCTGTTCTTTCAGCTTTTACAAAAAAGGTCAGAGACCCCTGATGTGAAGTAGTGATGTTAAGCTTCAAAAATCAGCCAAGATTTCAGTTCTTACAATAACATTTTAATGATGGACGTGCACTAAATCTGATTCATTCTGTCACGTTACACTCTCATCTCTTACCCAATTCTTTCCTGCTCCATGGCTTCCATCTTCTCAGCTCGAGCAATTACAGAGTTAATAATCTCTTTCTCCTCATCAGTCAGCTCTGGACCAGGGCCAGGCCCAGACTGTGAATGGATACCCCTTGTGCCTGTCATTGCATCTGTCATGATGTTCAATCCAGTGGAATCTCTAAAGCATTTTAAAACAACATAAGGAAAAATTTTAATTGTCAATTACACAAGCTGTATGATATCATGGTATCTACAATGTCAAAGAAGCTGAAAATGTAACGTGGAATTTTCAGGGCTCTGGTCTTAAAAAGGTTTGAACAGAGGTTTTATAAACTCTGTGAATTTGATCAAACTGTGCTGCAAAACAAGAAGCACTCTTTGGTAATACAAAAATATACATATGCCCACAACAAACACTGAATAAACACTTTACATTTTCAAATCACATTTTTTGATTACCCACAAAAAATGTTGCTTACTGTACCATGTCCGATATACAGTAAGGAATGCAGCAACACAATGTTACAATATGTAAGTGTACCTAAGCATTATCTTCTTGTTTACATAGGATTTGCCACAATATCTAATTTACAGGACAACTACTCTGTTCCTGGCTGAACAGCTGTGAGGAACGATTGACTCATCCCTCTTATGGCTACTGTGTGATACTGTATCTTCATATGCTCCATGCAGAGCCTCAAGAGTTCATTTTGGTTACAATTCATTTAACTTCCACAGAGAAACTACTGTAAAAGACAGATTTTTTTGCTCTTTATAATATTAAGACATTTAACCAAATGTTATTGACTAATTATTTGCAAAAATATTTAGGTCAAAATTTAGGTCAACCTTATTTATTAGTCTTGGCTATGCTTACATTTTCAGCGCAAGTCACCGTAAAGTGTTTCTCTTTTTGTTCACATGAAATTAATACATCATGAATAAATGGTTACAAACAGGGTCTTTCAAAAAGAAAGATATCGATGCTGGGTCACCTACAAACAGCCACCATATCTTAGACTGAGAAAAACAAAAGTAAACCGAAATGAACATACAGCAGAGAGTCTCAAACCTTATCTGGAATTTTATGAGAGCTTTCACACACAGCTTAATGTTTGCAACTCAGTTTCAGCCTTGTTTGAGTTAATTTTGGAGATGCTAACACCATCCGTGAGAAAGCAGATCACAAAAAAAATCCTGTTACCAGCAAAAGTTTGCAAATATCAAACAGAGTGCAAATAAAACAATGTTGCATTTTCACCATTCTACACAGCCCCAATAAAGCTTGGTGATTTACTTGGTGAATAACATAGGTGTTACATCTTCCATCAAAAATTCAACAAATAATGACTTCATTGAAATAATGACTCAGATAGACGTAAAAGTACCTTTCCAAAAACCAGCTTAAGCAGAAGTACAAAGTGCCAGGTAAAAAAAAAACTTAAGTACTGAGTAGAACTGCAGTCAAACTTGAAATCTATTCAGCACTATACTTCCAAAACCAAAAATAAACCAAAATGAAGATGCAGCAGAGAGTCGAAAATCTTATCTGGAATTTTATGAAAACTTTCACACACAGCTTAATGTTTGCAATTCAGTTTGAGCCCTGTTTGAGTTAATTTTGGAGATGGTAACACCATTTGTGAGAAAGCAGATCACAAAAGAAATCCTGTTACCAGCAAAAGTTCGCAAATATTAAACAGAGTACAAATAAAACTAGAAAAGTGCATTTCCTGAAGGAAACACGGAATGGTTGCGCAGTGGTACTATGGAAGTCTATAGGAGGAACGAGGGATGAAAAAACTGCACATAGAGGAGTGCGGGTCAGTAGAGCTTGGAGACCTGATCTGAGTGAGTACATGTACTTTGGTGGCTGTTGAGAAAAAGACAGATTAGGGCTTTTGTTGCAAAAGAAAACGAATGGGACTCTATGGGAGGAATGAGGGATGAAAAAAACGACAAATAGAGGAGCGCGGGTCAGTGTGTCTGTGATATAGAGCTTGGGGACCTGCCCTGAGTGAGTATGTGCATTTTGGTTGCTGTTGGGCAAAGGAAAAAACAGGGCTACAGGTCAAAAAATAAATAGGACTCTATGGGAGGAATGAGGGATGAAAAAACGACACATAGAGGAGTGCGGGTCAGTATGGCCGTGGATTACTGTTGGAGGCCTGACCTGAGTGAGGATATGTAGTTTGATGGCTGTTGGGCAAAGAAGTAATAGATTTTTTGGGGTGGCGAAAATGAATAGAAGCCTATGGAAGAAACGAGGGATGGAATAAAATGACAAATAGAGGAGTGCGGGTCAGTATGGCTGTGGATAAGAGTTTGGAGCGGTGCCCTGAGTGAGTACTTGCATTTTGGTGGCTGTCGTGCAAAGACGTAATACAGTTTGAGTGGTGGCAAAAATGAATGAGACTCTATGGGAGGAATGAGGGATGAAAAAACAACAAATAGAGGAGTGCGGGTCAGTATAGCTATGGATTAGAGCTTGGGGGTGTGCCCTGAGTGAGTACATGCATTTCAGTGGCTGTCGTGCAAAGAAGTTATAGAGTTTGAGTGGTGGTAAAAATGAATGAGACTCAGTGAGAGGAACGAGGGATGATAAAACGACAGAAAGAAGAGTGCAGGTCAGAATGACTTTGGATTGGAGCTTGGGGACCTGCCCTGAGTGAGTACATGTAGTTTGTTTGCCGTCGGGTAAAAAAGCAATAGAGTTTGAGTGGTGGCGAAAATTAATGGGATTCTAAGGGCGGAATGAGGGATGAAAAAATGACAAATAGAGGAGTGTAGGTCAGTATGGCTGTGGATAAGAGCTTGGAGTGGTGCCCTGAGTGAGTACTTGCATTTCGGTGGGTGTCAGGCAAAGAAGTAATAGAGTTTGAGTGGTGGTAAAAATGAATGGGACTCTATGGGAGGAAGAAAGGACGAAAAAACGACAAATAGAGGAGTACGGGTCAGTTAGGTGGTGAATTAGAGCTTGGGGACCTGCCCTGAATGAGTACATGCTTTATGGTGACTGTCGGGTAAAGAAGTAATAGAGTTTGAGTGGTGGCGAAAATGAATGGGACTCAATAAGAGGAACGAGGGATGAAAAAATGACACGGGTCAGCATGGCGGTGGATTAGTTCTTGTGCTAGCTAAGTGCAATTCCACCTTAAAAGCAGTTCCACCTTAAAAAAATCATTATGTGTGCTGACACTGCTGAGCATTAAGCTGTGAGCATGTGAGACATTGTGCTCTGTGCGTGAGTTTGTATGGGTGTGTGAGAGAGGGGCCCATTGTGACATAACGTGTGGCATGCTGCCAACATTTCAGTCAATGTAAGTCTATGGGAGAAACGAAGGATGGAATAAAACGACAAACGGATGAGTGCGGGTCAGAACAACAGTGAATTCATGCTTGGGGGCCTGCCCTGGGCAAGCAGAAGTACCTTAGATTGGCATGCAAATGTTCACCCCATTCATTCTCTATGGGAAAAAAATTCACAAAATTCCACTGCTACACGGAATCCGTGCATCCGATCAAAAAGCTGTATACAAGCACACATCACACAATCAGACCGGACAATCCGGAGTTGGAATGGTGTTGATATTTCGAAAGCTGCGGGACGAGTTACGCGGCAAAGAAACGCGGTATAATAATAATAAAAGACGAGAATAATGTAAATCGGATAGAAAGCAATGCGCAACCATAACAATATAAATCGGATAGCAATAAAGTTGGGCATTTTGCGTCTGGTGTGCAGTATATTTTCAGTTATACACATGATTTAATTAACTTACTGTTGTCACAAAATACTGCACAAATAAATCATGTTTGGTGTGTAAAGGCTTTTAGGCTTCACATGAACAGAAAACAAATAACTACAGCTTTAAAGCCACACAAATGATGCTGTCAATTGGAGGCTAAACAGATATGCATCTAAACCTATTGAAATTGAATTTCCTCAGCATGTCATTCAGCACTTGGTAGCTGCAACATCAGCTAACTCATTAGAAGAGTTAGAAAATGTTTGGTGATTTTGTAGTGTTTTGCGTTGTATTATAATACCAAGCAAAATTGTCAGGCTACGTTGATTTTGTATTACATTTGTTTGCACTTTAAATTATCTGGTTGAATCTTGTGGGCTGTGGAAGCTTTTGTATGTCAGTTGTGTGGGCCGCAGGTTAGAAAAGGTTGGGAACCTCTGTTCTTGTGGGCTGCAAGTTAGATAAGATTGGGAACATCTGTTTTAAATTCAACCATTGAAGGATGGTTGTACACACCTAGTGGAACTGTACACTGTACAATTACTGCTTTTAAGATTGCTGCAGCATGTTAGTATACCAGATAAAGCAGTGCGTTTAGAAGAACAATTGTCACAAACTTGATAAAATATTACATAACTGCAGCTACTGGCTTTTTATCACAACAGAACCATCTATCTCTGAATAAGAGGCACCAGGCTTCAACAGTGCTCCACTAGTAAAGCAATGGTTGCACACCTCTTGGGGCTTAGGGACTTGTGATCAAATCCATAATTGATGTGATATGTTGATGAGTATATGGAGTATATGAGTTTATCAACAATGTGCTTTTTGCATATGGGCTGGGATGGAAGCTAGGGTCAAAGAGTAAAAAATGTAAACAAATCACTCTAGCGTTAATTTACATACTGTTGTTACTGCTAGAGCTCCAAATTATGCACTGCAACCCAGTTACACTACCCAGTTGAGCAGTCTTTGTGACTGAAGCACTGCTTATGTTTCTCCACTAATTTATTCAGGTTTTTCCTTGTATTTGCAATCCATCTGTGTCTCCATCCATATTTTGTCAAGTCATAGGGCTATTTACACTACTTAGCAGTATTGAACAATTTCCCAACTGCCAAGCCAGCCATTACATTTATTAGGATTAATATTTTTATTATGGCCTTTTTAGTGCTACCTGATCAAAAAAATGAAAATGCAGCCTTTATGCATGCTGTCTTGAGTATGGCCATTTTCAAACATCTGAAAACACAGCCCCAATAAAACTTTGTGATTTACTTGGTGAATAACTATCTACCATCTAAATTGTACTTAAGTTCAAGTAATTAAGTAAGTGTAGCTAGTTACTACCCCTTTCTGCACTTTCATTAAATAGATCTGGGTGCAGAAACAGACTTGCATTGTAACATGGTGTAGAAAAACAGTTGTA